CTATCTCTCTCAACCTGGAAGGCTTCCTTTCAAAGTTTTTACATTTGAAGTTCTGCCTTAAAGGCAAGAACATATAAATTCCTTTAATCTACTAATTACAAATTATAGCTCATTCATTTTTAGATAATTTTTAAGAAGCTAGTAGTCTATACACAAAAACTCAAACAACCACTAAAATTAGGTAACAAAATCATTAATAAATTTAGACAAAAATAAATTAGACCATAATTTAAATACAGCCAGGCGCAGGGGCAGGAGACTGCACTGTTCTCGTCCGGGAGCTGGATTTTATAGTCTCTGAGTCTTGGCCGTTGATGGGATTACATGGCACCAGGGGGCCAGGTGGTGGGTGTGACCCCCGCCTACTGGAATTTGGAGGATCTGGGTGGAGGATGCTCGACTCCAATCCAAGTAGGCTTGGAGATCTCGGCCCTGGAACCCGCATGGCTTTGTCCCTCTGCCAGTACCTTCATGTGTGTGGAGAGTGGTCTCAGCATGGTGGTGGCTGGTCCTGGAGGTCTTCGCTGCCGGAGCCTGGTTGGGCGGGGAGGAAAGCTCAACCCGCTCCCCTCCAAGGGGCCCCAGCGAGGAACAGCCAGGCGCGGGGGCAGGAGACCCAGCCACCACCATGCTGAGACCACTCTCCGCACACATGAAGGTACTGGAAGAGGGACAAAGCCACGCGGGTTCCGGGGCCGAGATCTCCAAGCCTACTCAGATTGGAGTCGAGCATTCTCCACCCAGATCCTCCAAATTCCAGTAGGCAGGGGTCACACCCACCACCTGGCCCCCTGGCGCCGTGTAATCCCATCAACGGCCAAGACTCAGAGACTATAGAATCCAGCTCCCAGAACCGCGCAGCCTCCGCGACATCTTATCAAGACATCTTTTTATGACATCTTATTATCTCATTCCTACTTTGGACAAACTTGCAGGCTACCGAATGTAGCCGGCCCACACGGCAGAGTCTGGCAAACTCCCCGTGGCGTACCCAATATGCCAAATACCAGTAACAATGATGGGTCTCATTCTCCTAAAGAGCCTTGAATATAATCTCAGGGCTAGGATGAAAGAGACGTTACTGGGGCCTGCTCGAGGCAATCGACGAATAACAGGATGATGAATGAATGAATGAATGAATGAATGAATTTAAATACACGAAATAAATTTATCAAAATTGATTTTAGGGCTAGAGACTTAGCTCAATGGGCAGAGCACATGTTTGCATGAGGGAGGCTTAGGTTCGATCCTAGCACTAAATGATTTCCAGAGCACTGTCAGAAGTAACCCTAGAGACAGAATTAGGTGTAGTCCCCAGTACCACTGGACCAAAATTCATTTTTGCCATGTTAAAACCCTATTTCATCAAAGTTTAAATATTAGGAAAAGATTGAAGGTAGCTTGGACAGCTTGAAAAGAAGGTTGAAGTATAATTGAAACCAAAGCACAAAAAATTGTAAATCTACAACTGTAAAAAAAAATAAAATAAAATAAAGGGAAAAAAAAAAAAGAAAAGAAGGTTGAAATCTAGAGAAGCTGTGGGATTTTTTTAAAGTAAAACAGGAAACTCAAAGACTAATACAGTGAAGGTCAAGCACAAAACATCTCTTCTTACACAGCCAATAAACCCAGAGGTTCTAAGAGTTTAAACAATACAACTACAGCATATAATTATTTTGAGGAATAACAGTACTGCTTTCCTCAACAGAATTTTGGATGTTCTAGGGCATTCTCCCCCAACTCCCCCACAGACTGTATACATAATGTGCTGAGAATTACTTCAATAAACACCTCTTAAATGGTTCTGAAATTACAACAATCAGATCTTGATGCTCAAGTTGAGCCCCAAGTGTTTCTCTCTAACTTGACTATGGATGGAGTCTGCATTCTAAGGTCTGTAGGGACCAACTGATGTAGTGAAACGATTACAGTGTCTGGGACCTGTATCGCCAATACCAGTGGTATCATTTTTCCACTCATGACTACGTCAAGGGTGCTCTTATCCTGATAAAGCCCCAAAGGCTGTGAATAAATGTCAACTCTCAATGGCCAGAGTAACATTAAGGACATTATTCAGAAGCATTAGGAAATCATTTACGTTTTGTTTTAGGTCTCCAATGTAAGTATAATTCTTAAAAAGTTATCAGTTTGCTCTTCAAGCCCATGTTCTCTCTTGAACATATATCTTCCTTGCTTGCTTGTTTCTTTCCTTGCTTATTCCTACTCTGGAGAAGCCTGTGTTCGCTCTCGAACATGAGCTTCTCTTTCTCTCCCTCACATTTTTCTAAGTAAGTTTCAATACTTATATATACCAAATACCAGTAACAATGATGGGTCTCATTCTCCTAACCCTGAAAAAGCCTTGAATATGGCACTTTAAAAAAAAAAATCTCAGGGCTAGGACGAAGAAGATGTTACTGGCACCTGCTCGAGGCAATCGACGAACAACAGGGTGGTCGTGATCGTGATCGTGAAGTTTCAATAAAACTATAATGAAAAAATATGCTGCTAACTATATTTCCCAAATGTTTTTGAAGCTATCAAGAAGGTCAATTTATGAGTCAAATACTGATAGAAAAACTGACCGTTGAATTCTAAGTATTCAATTTTTAAAGTTGTTTAAAAATTCATTTAAAAACATTGATAAATTCCTTTTACTGACAATCTAGGCAGAGTGAAGATTTATTTTTGGATTTCAGATTTTTGTCTCCCTCAACCCCCCTCTGGGTTCTTGTGCATTTATACAGACATCTGTCAAGTTTAACACTGCCTTCTAAAGAGAGGCTAAAATATTATTAAAGAAGCTGAGATGTTTAATTCAGAAAGCTGGCAGGAGGAATTTATGCAATGTCATACACAAAAAAATATTTTCCTGGACCTGTGTCTTATGTCTACTGTTCACGGTATCTCTGAGTAGACTTTTAGTCTGTGATAATTACCTTTCCTGGCACATGTTAGATCACCTAGGATTTTAATTAGTTACATTTTTATTTTGTGCCTACTATGTGAGGGGGATAATTACTTGTTTTTATTTGAGGGATTGGCCACAATTAACAAATAGGAAATTGCAGACTACTGGAAGCTTATGTTTCATTTCTGATGAACTTGGCAAGAAGTGAAATGTTTTACTACTGTTTTGCTCCTATGATAAGATGATTTATAGACTATATCACTTTGGATATTGAATTTATTAGAAATTATACCATAACAAGTCTAGGTCTCAGGGGAATCAAGCCTGAAAGAATCTGATCTGGGAAGACTTTCAGTATATAGCTGAAGAGCTTTGGGCCTTGAGATCTGAGACTGTTGGCAAGGGAAACTTCTGTCTCTTCTACCTACCTGTACCTCAGGTGTTCAGATTTCACAAGAACAGAAATGGGTACTTCTACTATGCAGGGTATTAACCTATCTGTTTAGCAAATAAACATAGCAAGGTGTGTCCAAGTTTCAATTGATTTCTTCCATTTCCTACTAAATAAAATGTTGAGCATACACTGAGTTGCATATACTAAGATGGTAGGTAATCATCTAAGGTTTTAACTAGCTGAATCATCTGAGTCACTATAAAAAGTCCCCACCCCCAACCGTCCCCTGCATATCACTTTGCCTCTTAAAAAAAATCATGGGGTATTTGTTTCTGAAGCCTTAATATTAATATTTTAAATCACTTAATATTCTAAATTACTAGTTGTCTTCTTAACAAGGAATTATCGACATGAGCAAGTATACGTAAGTGCATCCAGAGAACTGCACATTTTCATAATCAAGTTTTGGTATATATCTAAATAAGGCAATTTAATTGGGAAATTTCCTATGCCACTTTTGAAATCACATTACTTACATTGCAATCACAAGGGAGTAGCTGGCTTAGTAACCAGTTTATCACATTAAAATGTATTTTTAATGTATGTTAATTTAAAAAGGCTCATAGGAGAGTCAGCATGCCTTAGCAGTATGCATACAGTAATGGAAAAATTTGGACTGGGTGCATCTTGTCTCTCTCTAAGCAAGGCACTGAATTACTGGCCATGTGTTTTTTCATTTATAAATATTCAATTTATAAAATTGCAATACTTATAAGCTAATAGTCATCTTCCGTACAATGGATGTTATTTAGACTAATAAGGGACTTGAACACAGCAATGTTAATTATAATGTTAGTCATCATCAGAGATTGAAGATCTGACAAATAAAATTTCATGAACATGATGGACTCAGTGTGTGAAGGCTTAATGCTTTTAAGCAATATCTGGCACAGTAGATATATACTCATAATTAAAGTTTCAGGGTACAAAACTTATGAGTAACTCAATTTACTTAAGACCCATTCATTATTGAGGGCTGATGTGGGGAGAGGCCTAAGGCTAGCCATATTTTACATAGGTGCCATCAAAGCCCAAATAGGTTAAAAAAACTTTTCCTCAAAATAGTTGGTGAGTAATTAAGACCATAACGTAAAGGTCGATTTTTAGGTCACTCCTCCTTTGTCCAGTCAATTTATCATGCATTTATTTATTGCGTTCAATTATTAATAAACCAACGATGGAGTTGACCTTTTGAGAAACAGGGACTGTGATGATTACAAAAGATAAATAAATAAATAAATAAACAAATCCAAATTAACTAGCCAGTCTCCAAACTGGAACTGACTCCTTTGAGTTACAACAATCCCCCTTTATCCCGGGCCTGGAGAGCATCCCTGGGGGAGGAGGGAGGTCGAGTCACTCTTCGCAGACTCCGGGGGCGGGGGCGGGCGCCCAGCTGGGAGGGGAAGCGGGGGGGGGGGGGGGGGGATGGGGGATGGGGAGGACACCGAGAGCAGACTCCAGGGCCCCCGTTTCTCCTCCGGGACCCCCCCTCCTCCTCCCGGGTCCGCTCAGAGCCGGCTCCCGGCCCCCCACCCCGCGGCTGTGCGCGCCTCGCCCCGGAGAAGCCCGAACCCCGGCGGCGAAGGGCGGTCGGACCCTCAGGGGTCCCGGCGAGGGGAGGGGGCGCGGTACCTCTGTCTCGAACATGGCTCCCACCGGGGCCGCCGCCACGGGGGTCGCCCCCCGGGAATCCGGCCCACGGACGCCGCCGCCGCCTCAGCGCGCCCAGCGTCCTCTGGTTGCCTGGGCAACGGGGGCGGGGCCCAGCCCCGGGCCGACCTGGGCCCAGCCGGGCCCAGCCGCGGGCGCCGAAGGGCTGCAACCGGGATGGGACCCCAGACTCCCCAGGAGACAGAGCTCCCCGGGGAGGGCGCGAGACAGGGTTCCTCCTCGGTAGAGACAAACGTTTGTTTGCATAAGAGTGCACACCAAGAAATGCAGTCCGGATGAATGAGGCTTTGTGGAAGCGCCTAATGCAGAATGCAAGCCTCTGCCAAACGGTGACCTGGCTGATTTTCTTTGGGGAAGGAAGGACTTGATCATTGATCACTGATAGTAGCGAGTTCTGGTAACTTTCGAGGAATTACGGTGGTATTATTGTCGCGTTTGGAAGGAAAGTGAGGGGCTGGAGCGATAGCACAGCGGCTAGGGCGTTTGCCTTGCACGGGGTCAACCCGGGTTCCACTCCATGCGGTCCCCTGTGCATCACCGGGTGTGACCCAAAAAGAAAAAAACAAGAAGGAAAATGATTTCTTTGTCCTTTATGGATACACAGTGAAAGATTCAGTGATAATGGCGCGATATTGGAAATGCTATGTGAATACATGCCTGCATTTTACTACTGAGTGCAGGCGTGGTCAATAGCCAGAAAGTAGAGGAATCAGAATCGGATATGGGGTATAAAGTGATCATTATACTATTTCAACTTACCTATGTTTGAGTTTTTATAATGTTTATAAAGTATATTTAGTGGCGTAAGAATATAGTGTGAGTATTCGACTTCTTTGGTTGGTAATACCTGATTCTAAAAACAAAACAAAACAAAAACCCACCATCTTTCCTTGCATTTCTCTGCATGGGAGGTGTTATGCAGGAAGCTTGCTGTGAAAATCAAACATTATTATTTAAGTACTTCAGTTTCCCCATCTGTGTAATGAAATAATAATGTTTCCCCCATAGCACTACTTGGAGAGTTTGATGTGCTTTTGTATAGACGTGTGTAGAGCAGTGCCTGCTACCTGTTATGTTTGTAGGATAACTGTTGGTTTGTTCTTTCTGCGTTGCCACAGGGCGCTTAGGTTTATTGGGTTACTCCATTCGAAGTGCTCCCATTCCTCTGTGTTCATTTGTAAGCGCTTTCTTTGTACTGTGCTTCCCCAACCTGTCAATCACCTTTATCTCCTAATCAGACTCTGCTGACTTATAAATACTGCCTTTCTCTTCTCCTTAAGTCCTTTGCATAGTTAATTCAGAACAATGTCCTTTTTGTATAGACACAGGAAGGCAGTTGATGCTATGCTTTTGTAACTTGGGAGTTAATTGACTCCAAATGATATTTACTCCTGGGCATCTGTTCTCTTGACTTACGCCTCAGTTGCCCTTAGTTCCTAACACCTCAAAAGCAGGGTCCCGACGAGGGACTGAATGGACCCAGGGCAAGCGGTAAGCTACCCTGGCATCAAAATGGGCCTGGACAAAGTGCCACAATACTTAACTATAAGTTAAGAGCGTGATCAGGGACAAATTCTGTCATGATCCAAAAAGTAACAACTAGATTAGAACCCTGCTAGGGTTAGGAAAGATTAATCTGGCCTGAGCACTGTAGTCTGGGATCTGTGGCGAGAAGTCCCCAGTAGAACTACCCTACAAGCTTAATGTATCTCTTACTGTGTCCATACAAAATAACTAATATTAAGAAGTAGAATTAAGATGTGAATTAAGATGTTAATTTAGTTATTGGACTAAGGAAAGGAGAAAAACCCCCACGTGGTATTTTGCCCTTGAGCCTGATCGGCAATCTGGAAGGGCTTTGATACGTTGATGTGCTACCCCACCGGGGTATGTGGTTGCTACTGCCAAGGTTGGAAGTTGGTGAAAGACTAGAGCCCAGGCTGCAAGATGGAGCGTGGAGCAGGAAGACTGGAGAATATGTGAATGAGGAGCAGTGTGAGACCAGAAGGGGAGCTTAGTGAGACTGGAACAGGCACATGGAAGGAATGAAATAAACGGCAACTGATCGTCAAGCAGCCTGGCCCTCATTTTCTCCTTTGTCCACCCATGGCATTGGCCGTCCTGGGTGGGGAAGTGGCTTGAGACCACCAAATGCAGGCGGTGAGAGAGAGTTGCCAGCGGTTCCTCTCGTCGCCTGGAGATTACACAATGTTAACTATTATTGGATTTAATATGAATATTATGACAGTAGTCCAGTCTGTGCATTACTCACTGGATAGTATTTTGTCATGTGCATTTTTTTTTATTTTGCTTTTTGGGTCACACACAGCAATGCACAGGGGTTACTCCTGGTTCATGCACTCACGTATTACTCCTGGCGGTGCTCGGGGGACCATATGGGATGCTGGGAATCGAATACGGGTTGGCCCTGTGAAAGGCAAATGCCCTACCCACTGTGCTATCACTCTAGCCCTCATGTACACTTTTCTTATATTTGTCTGATGCCTTTCTAACTAAAGTGAACACTCTAGTTTAACATAATCTCATGATGATGGTGTTTTTCCTTTCAATTTCCTCAAAGTTTAAATTCTGCACACAAATTATACTGCCAATATCTACTCATAAATTGTGTCTAGTTTTGCATATGTTTGGCCAATCCTTCATGTGGGTTGCAGTCTTCTTTCCTTGATAGCCTCTCTCTTAAATATATTAGTTTAGTTTCAGTACAAAGTAGTCACTCAACAATGTGTTTATGACTTTCAGCCTCATTTAAAAAAGACATTAGAACTTCCTCAATTAATGAATATAGAGTCAATTTTTAGTGATTACCAGTTAATACAGGAATTTCCCACTACCTTACCAACTCATTACAATGCTTAATTGTTTCCTTCTAAACAAAGAAAGTAAAATATTTTCTTATCTGCTGAGTAGAATCCTTCGCATTCTTTGAATTTAGCATTTTGCAAAGAGTCAAAACATCTAGTTCCCTAAAATTGTAGTTTCAGTTTCCTTGAAGATCTGACTTCTTTTCCGGGCCTTGAATTGTTCTGACATTTCTCTGAAAGATTTTTCATTTTTTCTGTACCTCTTCTTGACTTTAGACCCCAGAACTGGATGTAGTACTCTATTAAAGATGGCGTCAGTTCTCATAACATAATGAAGGGTTGCCTCAGAGAAGAGGGGATTGTTCTGTAGGAATTCCAATTTTATTGTAGTTAATGATGTGATTTATTGGAGAAGTTGGTTTTGAGGAGACATTTTAATTTTATGGGGCACATTTTTTCTTTTCCTTGCAAGGAGTGGTGTTGAAAACCCATTAGCCTGAAGGTTACTTTTAATTTGCACAAGTTGAAGCTGATATTAGCCTCCCAGATCTTTTTAGGGAAGTGCCAACAAGAAAGACAAATCTCAGTAGGTGATATGTTTTCTAACACGGAAAGGTCACTTGAGCCTTCCTTCTCTGGTTTCTTTTGAGGATAGAGGCTTCTAACCAAAGCTGCTGCATTCCATTTGTTATCTTAGCTTATTGTTTTAGTGGGAGAAGAGAAAAGGAAACATATGGTTTTTGTAGTTTTTATCTTTTTCTTAAAGATCTCTGACTCTTACCACATCACTGTGAAATGTGGACTCCTTTGATAGTATTGTTTTGATCAATAGGGTTCACCCTATCATAATGAAAATACTTCAGTCAACTTATATTTGTGAGGAGTATGTTTTACAGAAGAACCAGATTTTCTTGAAGGCACGAGTATTTTCACAGTTTTGCTAATTCAAATACTGGAAATTTCAAACAAGAGATACTTTCACATCTCAGAGAAAGATTTGGGAATGGGTGAGATATTTTACGTTTAATATTGATAGTCTCATGTAGGTGTATATAGCAATGAACACTAAAGTTTCAATTGACTGCTTAAAAAAAGGTAAACATTTCTACTTCACTCCTCACAGTTCCTGAGTTACTGTTTGTTATTTTTTTGTACTACCCCAACAATGAATTAAGTTCTTTTGTACATGAAATAGTGTAACTAATGAGATTTGCAACATTTTAATAGTTTGAACACTGTGAGTCCAGTGGTCTTCAATCTGTTAAGTGATATCCATGGAAGTTTTAAGAAGATCAGACTGGAAAAATTGCCTTTAAAATGGTACTGAGATACCACAACTCAGGAGATGAGTTTAGATGACACATTTTTTCTTAGCCTTGAAATATGTTTAAATTGTTGGATGTGTAAATAAAAAGTATTAAAACCATTTTAATTTTTGAGTAATTGCTTTTAGTTTTCATTACATATTTAATTTGTAACAAAAGCTTTCAGATCACTAATGAATTTTGAAATATATTTTGTTTTCTTAACCTTTACCTAATCCTCAAATCTGTTCTCATTTCAATCAAGAGCCTTATAAATCTGTTCAAGTCGTGTGAGAACATCTTAAAGTATTACCTTAGTAAAAATGCGCTTACAGGATAGTATGTATCTCCTAGAGCAGAAAGCCTTTCCAAGCACACTGCTACTGGAGTGGGCTAGAGTTATTATGTTTTACAGTTGGTAGAACTTTTTTTTTTGAAAGGGAAGTTTGGGCTGCTTTAGTGGTGCTCACATGAGCTCAGGGCTTCCTCCTGAGCCAGAGCTAAGGGATCTTTCCTAGTGATGCTAAGGGGACTGTATGCACGGAGGAGGGTCACATCTGGATCAACCAAATGCAAGGCACGTTCCTTAACAACGTTTGAACAGTTTTCCATCTCTTCTGTCATTGAGTAAATCTGCAACCATTTTCAGAAGCCCATACTTTCCCATTGTGGACCCATCTGTTTCTCTTTCTCCAGTTATTCCCTTCCACTGGACCTTTCAGCTCTTCAGATGAAACTAACTCCTCGGATGAAAGTAACTCTTCTCCAAATATGAAAGCAATCTTACCAATCTTGCCAATTTACTTAGCAATTTATTAATTTTACTTCTCAATCTTGCTGATAACTTCACGTCTTTGACTCAGCATCTCTCCTTACCCCTTC